TATTTAAATCCTGCTTGGGGAAGTCATTTATTGGATTCCCTCAGGCTTTGGGGAGAGAGTATATGAGATCCTTGATAAGCTTAATATATTTTTATTAAAAATTAATAAGAAAGCTATATTGTTTGCAACTTTAAATTATAATTTGATTCAATTCATTTTATTTAATATATGATCACAATTCTAAAATTACTTTTAAAAAAAAAAGCTGTGATGAGATTGAAATCAGTTCTGGGGACCCTATCTTTTAAAGACTGCATCTTTACTCCTGGGTGAACCATGCCTGTCATGTGGCAGACAATCTGTGCTTCCATCCTCCTGTGACATTTAGAGGCAGTTCACGGGGGTAGCAGCCCCCCTTGAAGGCTTCAAATAGGTCCTCAGTGGGAGATTACGCCAGGCTCTTTTTAAATGCTACCATTAAAAAAATAAAATTTAATGGAAAGAGATAAGCTTTTCCCAGCACAGGCCAGCTCTGGTTTTATACTTTCTTAATCTGTTTTACATACTGCTGCAGGAAATTAAATCAAAACTGTTCTGACTTGTCTATGTGTGGCAGTTGGGCAGGGCTGAGAGAAGGGAGACACAGAGCTACCGGAAACAATTGTTCTGGTTTGTCAGAGATTTACTGTAACTTTGTTTTGAGGTAGGGGAGCCCTCCTCTTCTTGCTGGGCCGAGGGGCTGTGGCCACCACAGAGAGCCAGTCTGTGCTGACAGCTCCCTAGGCTCCCTTCTTACATCACTGAGAATCGTGCCCCAGCTTACCTGGAGGCCCAGGTGGCATCCACAACAAGGACCAGATGTCTTACCTGACCAAGTCTGAGTTTCAGCTTCCTGTACACCCAAATTGACATATTACTCAGCACACACAGAACACAGTCATCACCATATTTTGCACATTACTAAATCCTATCTTTTTTTTTTTTTTCCTTTTCTTTCCCTCCTATCCCACCCATGGCTCTGAGAAAACTACAGTATTTACTTGGTTCATCATATTTATATTTAGTTTTACCTTCTAGAGAAATGATATGGACTTTTTTCCCTAGGCTCTTCATATTGGTCCTCTGCTCCCAGCTAGGCCCATTTCTGCTCTGCTTCTAGCCACCCCTGTAGATAAGCTCCTCTAATCTTAGTATCTCAGATCTTACATATACACACCGAGGGATTGTTCCCACCCCACTTTTGCTTCCAGTGCTGCATTCATCACCAAATAAGAATGAAGGTCAAAACCAGCAGCATCCTGCCTAGGAAGACCTTCGCGGCCCCTCAAGGTGTTGCAGAAGTCACATCTCAGAGACCCTCCAGGCCCTCTCCTTGGTCACTGCAGACTCTCAGCAGGGGAGGCCACACAGCACAGCCATGGAGTGAACACTGGGTTCACCCTGGGGCCACTCTCAGGCCAGACATGAGGACATTGGACCAGATGGTCTTCGTGGTGCTTCTGCACGGGGACAGGCTGGGAGGTGTGGAAACGAGGCTTCCCTTCCTGGCTGTGGCTCTGTGGCTCCTGAAGGGAGGGGCTGCGGGGCCAGAAGCCTCCTGCTGGCCCCCGCCCTGTTGTGGGATGAGCAGGAATGAATGGGAAGACTCCAGATCAGCCACCATGAACTCTGGCTCATAAGGAGTAGGCCTTATTCTCAGAGCTGGAAGGGAGGAGACAGCGAAGCGAATGACTATTAGAATGGCAGTGAGGAAGGAAGCTGCAGCTGTAACAACAGGTCTGAAAACATGCAGACGGGCCAGACCCTGTCTGAGTCGTACGAAGGTGACCGCCCTAGCCTCTGAGTCAAGTCCCTGAGAAACATCTTCTGGGGAGGAACCTGGAGAAATACATCAAGGAGGACAAAGAGAAGCTGGTCCGGGACTTCTGAGAAACAAAGCCAGGCCCTCAGCCTGCAGAGGAGAACTGTGAGGAGTGGGGAGGTGAGAGGCCCCACCGTCAGGCTGGCCTTTCTCTGGCCCCCTGTCCATGGGTGGGGTAGAACATTATGTCTCTTACTGCAAAGAGCTTTTCAGGCAGTGCTCCTGGAGCATTCACTCCTTTTATCAGATCACAAGTACATCTGGCCCTCTGTTGAGCAGAAGGGAGAACATGTAAGCAGCTTTTGAGTGAAAGAATTTCCCGTGAAGGGCTTTCACTATCTCTCCAGTCTCTCTGTCCAATCACGCTCTCACATATGCCTCTGCCTCAGACCCTGAGATGTCCAGAACAATGGAGCACCAAGGGGAGTATGGGCAGGAGACAGGAGACGTTTGTTCTCTGACTGGCATCAAATATTTGATTTTGATTTTCTGCCCAAAGACATCTCACCAAGTTTGGCTGCCTCCAAGGTGCGGGCTATTCCCAACACCTCCCCCTCCATCTCAGACACCCCTCATTCCACCCACTCTCGGGATTTGCTTGCAGATACTACACAGGGCAGACCCACTCAAGTTAATAAAAGCCAAATCCCACCACCCTGACTCCATCATAGCCACCTTCTGGTTTTCCAGCTAGGGTGTCACGGGTGATGGGTTTGCAGGATTACAGCTGACTCCATAAGCAGAGCTCTTTTCCAGGCTGGCACACCTGTGCTGGAGGTGGCGGGCCTTTCTTTCCCTTTCTCTTTTCTCTCAGCAGCTAAATCTAGACCCCATCTGTCTGCCTGTTTTCCTTCATTCCAGCCTAAAGGGAACATTTTTAAAGAGGCCCCAAAGCCAGGAACACAGGTGGAAAGTGCTCCTAGTCTGGAACACTTTGCTTCTTCCACTCTCAGGTTTCCTCCTCAGGAGACTGTGTGCCTCAGCTTTAAAGTCTCTATGGCTTTAAAGATGCTCACACCTAGGAATCCCTCCTCTAGGAATGCATCTTAAGCCGATACTCAGCAAAGGCAAAAAAAAAAAACAACCCTATGCTAAAAGATCTACATCACAACAACAACAAAAAAAAATTGGTAGTGATCTGAATTTCTAAGAGTAGCTCAGTGAATAATAATCTATAAACCTGATGAAATGAACTGTACACAGCCATTAAAATGGTAATTATGGTTGGCTACAAGTTACCACTGAACAATCAATAGTTGTTATTACTTGTTGAAAGCTTACTCTATCAGTTGTTCTCAACCCTGAGGACATGAGACTCTCCCGAGGCCAGGCTCACCTCCAGAGAACAGGATTCAGCTGACCATGTGTGGGGCCTGGGCACTGGTACACCTTTGGAAGCCCACTGGTTGATACCGCTGTGCACCCAAGGCTGAGAGCCATGGCACTGCCCGCCAGGTGTTCTTCTGGGTGCTTAAAAACCCCAAGCTGTGTTCACCTACCTCTTGAGGCACATTTACATGGAAGACAATGGATCTGATGACCTTTCTGTTTGTTGTCATTCAGTCGCTCAGTCATGTCCAACCCTCTGTGACCCCATGGACTGTAGCCCACCAGGCTCCTCTGTCCATGGGATTTTCCAGCCAAGAGTACTGGAGTGAGGCTGTCATTTCCTTCTCCAGGGATCTTCCCAACCTAGGGCTCAAACCCACATCTCCTGCAATGGTGAGCAAGTTCTTTACCACCGAGCCACCAGGGAAGCCCATAAATATCGTCACTGCACAGCCTGGCCCATATGGGGACAAACCCTTGACCCTGGTTTAATTTATTAGCACCATCCTCTAACCAACTGAGCTGACCAGCCCTTCTGTTTGGAATTCCCCAGTTTTGGAAGCTCAGGATGCTATGGTTTATCTTTAATTTACTGCAAAACTATTTTGTGGATATTTTGATTATTTATTGCTCTATAACTAACCATCCCAAAACTTAGCAAAGTGAAACATCCGCTCTTTTATTACACTCACAGATGATTCGGATCAGGAATTCAAACAGATCACAGGAGGAATGGCCTGCCTCTTTTCCATAATGTCTTGGGTGTCAGCTGGGAAGACTGGAATCTGGCCTATGCCAGAAGATTTACACCATGACAAAAAATTAGTAGTGATCTAAAGTTCTAAGAGTAGCTAAGAAATCTGGCTTAAATCATCTGGAGGCTTCTTTACGCACATTTCTGGTGTTTAGGCTAGGATGATTTTAAAGATAGGTTCACTCAGAGCAACTAAGCCTGTGTGCCACAACTATTAAGCCTCTGCTCCAGAGACCAGGAGCCGCAACTGCTGAAGCCTACATGACTTAGCAGCTGTGCTCCACGAGAGGCCACCACAATGAGGAGTCCACACACCACAAGCAGAGAGGAACCCGACTCGCCACAACCAGAGCAAAGTCTGTGCAGCAGTGAAGACCCAGCACAGCCAAAAGTAGAACATAAATAAAATTTAAAGACAGGCTCAGCTAGGACTGTCAACCAAAGCATCTACCCTTGGCTTCCCCATGTGGCCTGGGCTTCCTCACAGCATAGAAACTCCTGTTTCCAGGAGCAGGCGTACTAATGAACAAGGCAAAGGTTGCATGGTCTTTTTGACCTAGCTTTGGAAGTTGACAGCATTAATTCCATCATACTCTATTACTGTAGTGGGCACAAATCCAGATTTCAGAAATATTTTGGAGGTAGAACTGACAAGATTTAGTGAGGAATGAAGGCAATGAATGTTAAAATGCAAATGCTATAATGCCATAAAACACGAAAAGAATACAAAAAGTATATGTTATATGTATCATATAGATGAGAAATACAGCATGAAAAAATGAAAACTTATTTTAAGGTGATAACAGCATGGTACTTAATCATTAATATTAATCATTTTAGCAACTCTTCTGAAACCTCTGTTAACTACCTACACCAAATCTAAGCTCTAATAATCCCTGAAGATCATTGTTGGACACCAGTTCCAGCGAGACTCAAGCAGTAAGTCCAAGTACCACATTAAGATCACCCTTGTCACTTCATTTCTAGTGTGGAGAACCACTGTGGTGATCATACTGTAGGCTGCGGGTTTCTCCGGGCTCCTGGCCCAAGAAAAGATGAGGAACAGGTGGGGACCTGCCTAACTTGGGGGTCTAATCCATCTTCTTTTTCCTTCAGGCTTTTGATATTATGAGAGTAACACATGGCAGAGAGCACAGCCTTATTGAAGATTTGATTCTACTCTTAGAAGAATGCGATGCCAACATCAGAGCACCCTAAGAGAACCCCGCAGAGGGAGAGCCAGCTTGTACCTTTATTGAATGCCTTATTGAGGTCACACTATATTTTGTTTGTTGTGTGGACCTCCCCTATTGGAAATGCTGTTCCATATTTACTTAGGTAAATAAAAGCAGACATATGGTTTGCACACCACAAGAATCCTTAGTTGTAGAGAAGCATGATTATAATATAAAAAAGTTTGGTTGAAAATACCATCTGGTAATTGTTTTCTTTGCTTTCTTTCATTGGTAATGTTAAAGACCTCAACATTAAAGATAGAAAATCATATTAAAAGCATAACAGAATAGGTTGTAACTTTCTCGTTGGATATATGTTGAGAGTTGGATAGAAATCAATGTTTTCACATTTGCTTCCAAGCAAAAGTTAATGTCTCTTTTGGCAAAAAGCAAGATTTTCAGATACTGTCCTCACTGCTTGTGGTAAACGATATGTGTGTCCATTATTCACTTCCAAATATGTCTCCAACACAAGTTTTTTTCTAAATCTTAGAAATCATATTAAGTTTATTGGGTTTTATTAGAAAAGGACAGGCAATCTTAATGGAAAAGAAAAAAAAATTCCTATGTCTCATGGCTCTTTGTGTAATTCATTCTGAGCATTTCATAACTCTTTGTGTGTGTCATGCTTTGGGGGAAGGAATTTTTTTCTGTAATTCTCTATGTCTAAGGTTCGACCATGTGATCTGCACAGCATGAGGCACCATTACCCTGAAGGAAGCAGGGTTCTAGCACCCCAGCTCAAATCAGGCTTGCTCCTTTCCCTTTTTTTCTCACTAGTTATTCCCCAATCCCATGGCCTGCTTTTCCTCTTTCTGCTTTAGACAAATACAGAAACTTTTTCTTTTCCTCTAGTAGATGGCAAGGTAACTTCTCTTATGGCTCAGTGATCCTGTGAGCAGCTTAGTCCCCCGTCCTCAGAGGAGACTCTGGTAGTAACTGAAGCCCTCGGATTCCTGCAGCTGACAGGATTCTCCGAGAGCTTCCCGTCACCCACCCCTGATTTTACAAGCAAGCAAATGAGATAGAGGGAGTGACGGCAGAATCCAGAGCAGCAACTCGTTCCTTCCGGAGCCTCGCCCACCCTCACGGAGGGAGGGGCAAGTCCTCTGGCCACACGGTTGCATTGCAGCGGCAGCCATCTCAGAATGACACGTGATTGAGCCGGGTGGAGCCAACCTCCTTTTGCAGCAGAGAAAGCTGACACCTGGAAACGAGCCCACGTGCCTCACACCTGGCGGTCACTGTGATCACAGAAACGTGCCTGATCTCCTGCATGCGGATGAGTCCCGCAGCCATTTCATCTGTGTGCTTGGCTGGAGCTGCTGTCTGTCAGGTATTAAGCATCTCTAATGCACACAGTATCTCTAATAGCCACAGCAACACCACAAGGTCAGTGTTTTGAAGCACATTTTATAAATAAGGAAACAGAGGGCTAGAGTTAGGTGCTCAGGGATCTCTCCTGATTTATTAAGTGACCTTGAGAAAGTGGCTGAAACTCAGTCTTTTTGAGAGACCAGTTCTAACCAATTCAGTAGATATATATTAAATGGTTGGAGAACTGCCAGGTGGGGAAATGGTAAAGAATCTGCCTGCCAATGCAGGAGACACAAGAGATGCGGGTTCAATCCCTGGGTCACAAAGATCCCCTGGAGAAGGGAATGGATATCCACTTGCCTGGAAAACCCCAAGGACACAGGAGCCCAAGGGCTACAGTCCATGGAGTCGACAACAGTTGGACACGACTGAGCATACATGTATATTAAACGATTATTGTGTTCTTAGGAGAAAGAGATACAAAATCTGAATAAGATGTACCCCTCATTCTCAACTTGCACAGTTATAGTATTTGTATTGGTTAGCTTTTACTGTACAATAAAATACTCCAAAATAAATTATTTTGTTCACTATTCTGTATGTCAGCAATCTGGACTGAACAGTTGCTTCTGGTCTGGCCCAATCTCCATACACCCCTGCTCTTGCAAAGTCACAATGCAAGAGCATGGATGCGTGGAGAGGAAGAAGCTGCAGCCACATATGCAATCCACCATGGCAGCCCCCACGCTATTTCAGCATAAACTCACGTTTAGTGAGTTTAATGAAATCCATAAACTTGGCGTGGCTGATCTCAGCTGGGCACACTCACTGTCTGCAGTTGCTGGCAGGTCAGATGGGGAAACCAACAAAAACCTACTCAAAGCTATGGTTTTTCCAGTAGGCATGTATGGATGTGAGAGTTGGACCATGAAGAAGGCTGAGCCCTGAAGAACTGGTGCTTTCAAACTGTGGTGCTGGAGAATACTTTTGAGAGTCCCTTGGAGAACAAGGAGATCATACCAGTTAATCCTAAAGGAAATCAACCCTGAATATTCATTGGAAGGACTAATGCTGAAGCTGAAGCTCCAATACTTTGGCCACCTGATGCAAACAGCTGACTCACTGGAAAAGACCCTGATGCTGGGAAAGACTGAGGGCAGGAGGAGAAGGGTGTGACAGAGGATGAGATGACTGGATGGCATGATGAACTCAATGGACACGAGTTTGAGCAAACTTCAGAACATAATGAAGACAGGGAACCCTGGCATGCTGCAGTCCATGGGGTTGCAAAGAATTGGACATGACTGAGAAGTAAACTCCGGGAGTTGGTGATAGACAGGGAGGCCTGGTGTGCTTCAATTCATGGGGTCGCAAAGAGTCGGACACGACTGAGCGACTGAACTGAACTGAGCAACTGAACAACAACAGAGGCCAAAGCCAATCAGAACGCCAGTCCAGAATAAAGGGTGGCTAAACTCCTCTCATGGAGAAGGTGATGGCACCCCACTCCAGTCCTCTTGCCTGGAAAATCCCATGGATGGAGGAGCCTGGTTGGCTGCAGTCCACGGGGTCGCCAAGAGTCGGACATGACTGAGCGACTTCACTTTCACTTTTCACTTTCATGCACTGGAGAAGGAAATGGTAACCCACTCCAGTGTTCTTGCTTGGAGAATCCCAGGGACGGGAGAGCCTGGTGGGCTGCCGTCTATGGGGTCGCACAGAGTCGGACACGACTGAAGCGACTTAGCAGCAGCAGCAAACTCCTCTCAAGGACTTCCCTGGTGGCTCAGATGGTAAAGCATCTGCCTACAATGCGGAAGACCCAGGTTCAATCCTTGGGTCAGGAAGATCTCCTGGAGAAGGAAATGGCAACCCACTCCAGTATTCTTGCCTGGAAAATCCCATGGACGGAGAGGCCTCGTAGGCTACAGTCCCTGGGGTCGCAAAGAGTCGGACGCACTGAACGACTTCACTTTCACTTTCAAACTCCTCTCAGTCAGAAGAAATACAAAATGCACTGCAAGGGTACTGATCTGGGGAGAGGAAGATGCTGTGGCTATTCATGCAGTCCACCATGGCAGCCCTTAAGCTATCTTAGTCGTGCAGAACATTTGGTGAACCTGATGAAACCCACATACCTTCCTTCTAGGGAAACATACACATATGGGCAATTTGCTTATAGGATCAGGCATTCTCTTGATCTCCCTATGGCCCATCAGTTGATTCCCTGGGGTTCTTCATCTATGAAAAACAGACTTGCTGCCTATCAGAAACACGAAGAGTTTTAGATTCATTAGGAAAAGAAAAAGGTCATAACAGAAGGTAAAGGTAGCCAACTTACATGCCGAATGAGCAGAATTCACTAACAGAGCCCTGTGTTTGCCAATTTTCTGAATGAAAGTGATCAGTCAGTGATGATCCTGGATTAAGAGATTTGCCTTCATGCCTCCTAGAGAAAGCATGATAGACTTTTAAATCCCTCTTAGCTCACCTCCAATTTTCTGAGAAAAGGGCTCTTAAGAGGAAGGGCCCAGCTTGCACCAACTTTTAACAGCAAACATTTAAACAATGGTAAACATTTACCAAACAACTCTACAGGAAAACAATTTGGGAAAAGCGGAAAGGAGATGGAGAATATAATTTAAAACCCACGTCACTAGTGGCGGACAATTTATTGCTGCCCCAGCCTCCATGTCTGCTATTTCATTAATCCATAGTCATTGTAGCGGCAGGCTTTTTTCACATCAGTAACTTGACGCCATTAGTTGCTCCTCTGGGATGAGAACACATTTAAACTGAAAATGAACACACCGGGCATAATTTATAGCCATGCCATGTGGATGCCCAGACTGCAGGGGAGGAAGGCTGCCTGCAAGCCTGCTCACTGGGAGAGCTCAGCACAGGCTTCCTTCAGCCAAGCAAGAGTGCGGGGCGGGTAACAAGGGCAGTCACCCTGTGATGAAGCCAGACAGCCACAAACCACAGAGGCCCCTCAGTCAAGCCTCACTGCAGGGGTGAAAGAGAAATTCCATATATGGGCGCCCTCCCCTGAGTTGTGCCTTGAAAACTCTTTTCTGGCCCAACCAGGAGGTGATGTTATATTCGCTCAGAGTAGCCCACTGGGCTTCCCCAGGGACATGGTTGTTCTGAGCATTGTCTGTGGAGCAGCATAAAGTATCGTGGAAAGCAAACACTGACACAGCTTTAGGAAAACACCAGAGCCCTGCTTTCGCCTGAGCTCTGTAAGAGATCGAGCTGGTTGCAGAAGCTCAGCAGCACCACCCCCAAAGTGGCACACTCACTTCACATTTTTGAGATCTGTAAACATCAAAATGCTATTGGCTCAGTCAATATATTCAAAACCAATTCGAAATACATCACAACTCTGAACATGTACACACAGCTACATGTAAGATGGATAACCAACAAGGACCTACTTTACCGCACAAGGAACTCTGCTCAGTGTTATGTGGCAGCCTGGATGGGAGGGGAGTTTGGGGGACAACGGATACATGCACATGTATGGTGGAGTCCCTTCACCTGAAACTATTACAGTGTTGTTACTGGGCTATACTCCAATACAAAATGAAAAGTTAAAGCATATTATCTTCCATTAAATAATACATCAAAAAACAATTCTCTGCTCTGCATATTTAGCTTAGCTCCATCATCATCTTTCTACCCTTCAGCACAGAAACTTAAGAGTCACTGACTCATCCCTTGTCCTTCCTCAGAGGACTAAGTTCCATCTATTTGTCCTCTGAAATGCTTTTTAAAATTTCAGCCCTTTTTATCCTTATCCATTCCCAGGCTCTTTGCAGGTCACAGCACTTCTGCAGACTCCCTCACTGATCTCCTTGCTTGCCATCCCTCTGTTTCCT